GAAAGGCTGTGGAATGCCCTTAAAGACATGGGAGTGCCAATACATCTGTTAATCCTAATGAGGAATCTGTACTCAGGACACAGAACATGAGAAACAGAATGGTTCCCCGTTGGCAAAGGGGTCAGACAAGGCTGCATCCTTTCACTCTATCTGTTGAACTTGTATGCAGAACATACTGTAGGGAAATTGGCTTGGACATGGAAGAGGGAGGAGTGAAAATAGGAGGAAGAAATATCAACAATCTAAGATATGTTGACGACACCATAATACTAGCAGAAAACTCCCAAGATCTTGAACAACTGCTAAGAAAGATCAAGGAAGAAAGTGCAAAGGCAGGCCTATTGTTGAACATAAAGAAAACAAAAATAATAACTATGGAAAATCTAGACAAATTCAACCTAGAACACGAGGAAATACAAGTGGTAAAAGAGTTCTCATACCTGGGATCAAATATTGATAGAAATGGGGACTGCAGTCAGGAAATTAGAAGAAGATTAAGAAAGGGGAGGGGAGCTATGAAAGAACTAGAAAAGATTCTTAAATGCAAAGATCTACAACTAAACACAAAAGTGAGAATCATACAAGCCATTGTTTTCCTGATTACCATTATGGATGTGAGAGCTGGACAGTGAAGAAAGCAGATAGGAAGAAAATCAATGTATTTGAACGAATGTGGTGCTGGAGAAAAGTGCCAAGGATCCCATGGACAAACAAATGGGTCCTAGAACAGATTAACCCAGAGATCTCCCTGGAAGCCAAAATGACAAAGCTGAGGCTTTCATACTTTGGGCACATCATGAGAAAGGAGGACTCACTGGAAAAAAAAACAATAGGAAAAGTGGAAGGAAGTATAAACAGAGGAAGGACACATACTAGATTGAAGGACTCTATGAAGAAGAACATGGGTATGAGTTTCCAGGACCTAAGTAGAGCAGTAGAGGACAGGAGTCATGGAGACGTCTCATCCACAGGGTCGCCATGGATCAAGATAGACTCGAGGGCAGTTAACAACAACAAAAAAGGTGATCCTATCATGAGGGTTTCTTGGAAAGTTTCTTCAGAGGTGGTTTGTCATTGCCATTCTTTGAATCTGAGATAGTGTGACATGCCCACTGGGTTTACATGGCCAAGCCAGGATCCGAGTCCTGGTTTTCAGTCATAATCTGATACTCAAACCACTACACCAACTGGCTCTATTCATGAACTTCACAGCCTATCTGATTTGTCAGGTACTGAAATAGAAATTCTAACTGAACCAAGAACATTGGGAATAAGAGAGAACATCTGGATGCATAGGCTGAACTTTTAAGACCAAATTGCCTCTGCTGGAAGCTAATAATTGATAATATTCATCCACTACAAATGCTGTGCATTTGAATATTCACTCCTTTCTATTCTAGAAGAACCATCTTGGCTACATCATTTATCAGTTCATAACAAAACAGCTGAAGAATGCCCAAAATGAAGTGTTTTGCTGTAACACGTCAATATTTATATTTTGCTAGTCAGCATAAAAGATTAACTGCATCCTTCTGAGGTCCAGAATAACTGGTCCAAAATGTGCTAAAATTGTGTGCAGGTGGTTAAAACCAAATTTAGTCCTCCCTAGATTAGACCAACAGATATCTGGGGGATATGAATTAATTGAGATTAAAAGGTCCCATTTGTAGGCCAGCATGTTGTAGTGGTTTTGGACTCTGGAAGAAAAGGATTCAAATTGCCATTCAGCCATGGAAGCTCACTGGGTGACCTTTGGCAAGTCACATAGGCTGCATCCACATTGGAGAAATAATCTTGTTTGGCACCACTTTAACTACCGTACCATGGCTCCATGCTATGGAGTTGTGGGAATCTCTGCTCTGGTGCCACAACAAACTACAATTCCCAGAATTCCATAGCATGGAGCAATGGCAGTTAAAGTGGTGCCAAGCAGGATTATTTCTTCAATGAGGATGCAGCCATTCTCTCTCAGCCTCAAACAAAGGAAGGAGGCAAACTACCTCTGAATAAATCTGGCTTCAGAAAGGGTAGCTGTAAATTGGAACCAATTTGAAAGCACACAACAACAACAAATGCCCCATTCATTTAATCTGCTATTTATTGGATGGTTGATTTAGCGGTTTAGCCCAAAGATGTTTTTTAAAAGCCCTATGGATTCAATCGTGACCAAGTTCAGGATCATCCTTCAATTACCAAAACAAAATTGCATTGAGTTTTGATGCATTAACTCATTGCTCCCTCATTTAGGGCCCAGAAAGTGACCTCACAATCTCATTAAAGTGTATGTATGAGCATTTGTAAGAGAGAAGCTTTCCTTCTGAAATGCTGGAGAATGACACTGCTTATACTTTGGATCTTAAGCAGGATAGATTTAGGCTGGAGGACCTATGCATACAGAAGTAG